GTTCGCGAACAGCTCGTGTTCGACTCGTTCATTAAGAAACGAACACGAACAATGACTTCACGAACAATTTCGAACACAAACTTATTACAAACAAACTAAATTTCAAACACACGAACACAAGCTCTGTTCATTCGTATTCGGTTCGTTTACACCCCTACTACTAATAACATGCAATCAAACACCACTTAAGACTGGAGCAAAGAATTAAAAAGAGAAAAAGAAAGTGCAGAACCAGCCTTAGAGATAGATTGTATGAGAATTTCCCCCAAAATAAACATAAAAAATGCTATAATTGTTCATGAGGAGATGATGCACTAGCTAGTTGACTGCACATTAAACAAATAATTTGGGTACAAAAGATAATTATATAATTAAGATTGTGCATTAAACGCATATAGGCATCGATCAGCAGGCACATCAGCGTTGCCCCTTGAAACATTTACATATTAGCAACACTGAAACAAAAGAAGCTTTCGCAACAAAAGACGCATAATATCGGGATGGATTAAATATTAATCCCTTCATCGATCTCTGCAAAAGACGAAGAAGCTTTTGCTTTCTTATTGGATGAACAGAAAACATCAGTCAGCACAGTGGGAGAATCCAATTATGCCTTCAGCAAAGCAAGTCCCTAAAACAAATATAAAAACTCAATAACATATAGTTAAGCATTGAAAACTTTCTAAGAGAAAATTCAGCCGGATGTTAAGAAACTAACCTCTTCCATGCCGATGTCGACCACTTCTTCCTCTAATTGGATTTCCTTGTTCATGCTAAAGCGATTGATTGAAGTGATGCTGGAAATTGCAGAGATTGGTGTTACTTCCATATCGTCTGTAATCATATAAGTGATCACTCCCTTTACAAAGCCTTCAACGCTCTCTCCTGTATTCACTCCAGAAGAAGGTGAACCATACATATATGGCGCCACGAAATGGACTTCATAGGACATCACCAGCCTGCATTATGGGCATATAATATTACTCTGAGTGGTTATTGTTTTTCGGCAATTATTACAGAGGTAGTACTTTAGTTCTGTAACGGGTTCGGCGCCAAGAAGCAGAGGACTTGATACATTAAATGTGGAGACTTTGGGTTGAAGCAGTGTAGATTTGTCTCTGTTTGCGACGAGATAGGTGTCGCTGAGATTTTCAACGCTTTACTAAAGTTTTCCGATGGATCCAATCATGTTGGTAGGGGAAAGGAGCTTGATGACACAGCCAAGTGGGAGAGTGAGAAGGCTGAACATAAAATCTATGAACTCCTTACCAGCCTCGACGAAGAGCACTTTGTTGCTGCGAGCATCGATGAGTAGCTTGAGAGTGATTTTGCTATTTGCTTGTGCCATGGCTGATTTGAAATATTGTAGAAATGCGAGGATCTAAGAAGACGGCTAGCTCATAAAGTGTACACGCCTTACCTCATAAAGTTTACATTTACATGGAGAAAATATTATATCAAAATTCCTAACTTAATTCTGGTTAGTAGTTTAATATTGGGGCGTCACGTGTTAAATAGGTCCCATCGCAATACACAACCAGTGTTAAAAACGGTGAAGCTCACTTTACACGTGACACAGTGCCATTGGACTCCAAATTCATTCGAAATCCTGTTGTAATATTTTTCCACTTCTAAAAAGCATCCATGTTTATGTTTTTGAATGTTCCACTTTTAAATTCAAAATGGTGATGTTTTTTATGTGATAAGAAAGACTCCAGTGGTAAAAATGTAAACCTTAGAAGTAAATGCAATTTTTTTTTTTCCAGTTAATATGGTGAATAAATTCTAATTAAATGTTATACTAACAAATATGATTTAATATATATACATATATATATATATATATATATATATTTCAACAAACAAGAAGGAGAAAAAAATATAATAAAAAACTATTATCATTGACCAATGTGATCAAAACAAATCAAGATCTCGTGGCTACGTTTGCCAGTTGCTAACCAGCCCTTTCATAAAAGCGGCAATTTAATGGAGCAATACTGCAAGCTGTCAAGGCAACAACTACTTTTCAATGTTGTTTTATATAGAAACTTGTTCAGTTTTAACTCCCAAAAATAACCAGCTAAAGGCTCACGTGATTTGGGAAGGGTACAGCTTTCCAACCATCTAAATAATGTCTACTTATTGCGTGTTGCGTGTGGAGAGCGCATGGTACAGCTTTCCAACTATCTAAATAATGTCTAATTATTGTGTGCGGAGAGCGCAGGAAGAGCTGCGTGCGCTCTCCGATCACAGCCGCCATATGCGCCCTCCGCATGCAACAATTGCTCCTTAATAATCATATAAAATTATTTCACAAAAACTTCTATGAAAAAATATAGAGAACAATATGCAAAAATGAAGATCAAACAGTATAAAAGCACTAAAAAAAGTTACAAATCACCGCCCTTTTTTCTTGTTTAAACAAATCAATAAAATATGGTAAAACCTAAAAAAATAAATCTCCATCAATCCTAGCAACCCCCACCTTCACCATTACACAAACCTCAAACCCCGAATCTACCAAAACCTAAAATCCCAACAATCTCCATAACCAAACTCACACAACACCAACGGTCAAATTCTCTCCAGATCACTCTTTCACCCAAATGTACAATTCTCCCAACAAGTTTTAATTGCACCCAAGCCCTCCGGGAGCCGTTCAACCCAATCCAAAATAATTTACAGCCTCCATCTAAGGATTCTCAAACAAGCCGATGCTGCCGAAACCCCTTGCTGAAATGCGGCTGCATTAGCCGGACATAGAGGCCATTCATTTGCACCAAAGAATCATGGCTTCCCTGCTCGACAATCCTGCCGCCATTAAGAACCACGATGTTGTCAACATATCTCATCATCGGAGCTCGATGCGCGATCATTATGGTGGTTTTGTTCCCCATGACTAACGTGTCTAGTGCTTCCTGCACAACCCGGCTCGACTCAGACTCGATGGAAGAACTTGCCTCGTCAAGCAGCAAGATAGGTGCGTTTTTCAGCACGACACGAGCGATGGCGATCCTCTGCTTCTGGCCAGGGGTTAAGTCGACTCCTCTCATTCCTACATGTGTGTCATACCCATGAGGCAAACTGCTGATGAAATGGTGGGCGTTTGCTATTCTTGCTGCTTCCTTCATTTCAGCTTCTGTGGCGTTGTGTCTGCCATATATGATATTCTCCCTTATTGTTGTGGAGAAAATGATGGGCTCCTGCTGA